AAAAAAAAAAAAAAAAAAACAAACAACAACCAAAAAAAAAAAAAAAAACACCCAAAAACAAACAAAGAAAAAACAAACGAAAACCAACCAAAAAAAAAAAACACCAAAACAACACAAAAAATAAAGAAACACAAAAACACCCAAAAACGAAAACACCACCAGCCAAACCCCAAAAAAAAAAAAAACCACAAAAACAAAACACACAACAACAACACACAAACCAACCCACACCCATCCCAACAAATACAAAAAAAAAGACGCGACAAGCAAGTAGAAAATCCAAAGCCCGAACCCACTCCCCCCCCACCACCCACCCCCCCCCCCTCCCCTCACCCATCCCACTCCCCCCGCCCCCCCACTACCCCATCCCCACCTCCCCCCAACCCTGCCGAAGAGTCGCCCCTACGATCACTCCAAGCCGAACCCTAAACCCAAAAAAACCTCAACCCCAAAGCGTGAACCTTGAGCCCTAAACTAACCCTCAACCCCAAACCCCAAACCATAAACCCGGAACCCTCAACCCTCAACCCTCAACCCAACCCTTATTGCTTGGGGTCCAGCGACTTGGGCGCTGCGGAATCACCATGCTCACGCGGATGCGCTGGGCCGGGCCGAGGCGGGTCGCGTAGCGTTAAAATTAACCGGAACACGAATTGAACCGAATTGCATGAATGAACATGGCCACCCAAACGAATCGCATCGATAGAAAAGTAGACCGGGCGAAGACAAGAGTTCCGGGCGAGGAGAGGAGTTGAAGTTAAAATCTAACAACCTCACGCGAAGGTGCGGAAAATTATCGACAATTTTGCGAAAATAGGTATTGTTTCCTAGATCATAGATATGAAGTACACATAGATTCTTTGAGTTGGATCATTAGACGATTAGATTTTCCAGAGATAGAGAAAGAAAGATAAAAAGAATACAAAAGATCCAGAGATAGATTTGAGTGAACAATAATTTCAAGAAACATCTCTTTGTAATGAACGTGTATGAAAAGTGTATTTTCTGGTCGGCACTTGCAACGTGAGACAACATGAATATGTACATGGATGTGTGAGCAATTTCTTGGCATTACTTGGCCAGCATCATCTTCACGAACTCTTCGTAGTTGATCAGACCATCACCTCAGCGAGGCATGACAGGTTGATCGTGGCACGTTCATCACCAACAGGCAGGTGGGCAAAGACCCATACGAATGCCAGCTTCAACGAAAAAAAAAGGACGCATGTTGAAACCGCTGAGAGTAAAACCCTCGGGAGGCGTGTCCGGCTCCACAGGATCACTCGGGTGAGGCGGAAGCTGATCCTGAGTCAGAATGAATGCGCCTCATGTAGCTGGAGGGGCCTACACTGAAAACAGAAGAAAAAGTTCCTTGGATTGAAGCATTTCTTCCACCAAAGCTCGCCGCAACCGAATGTCCAATCGAGTCAGGGACACCGTTCACATCTACAGTTTAGCTGAGTTTCTCCGAGGCGTTTCATGATCTTGCGCAACTCAGCAGCGTCGATGAAACCAGTGCCGTCTCGGTCGAAGACTCTGAAGGCTTCAAGCAACTCTTGTTCAGTGTCCTCCTCATTCACCTTGCTCGCCATCAGGGACAAGAACGTTGGGAAGTCAAGTTTGCCAGTGTCATCTGGATCAACCTCGTTGACCATGTCTTTGAGTTCACTCTCCGTAGGGTTCTGGCCCAGACATCGCATCACAGTACCCAGGTCTTTGGTGGCGATGGTGCCGTCGCCATCCTTGCTGTCGAACAGAAGGAAAGCCTCCCTGAACTCTGTGATCTGCTCTTCAGTCAGCTGAACCATGGCAACCAACTATCAGGAGAGTCCCCCCAGGGCACAGCCAAAAATAACAGCAAGGCAGGAAGATGCAGGAAACTATTCAGATCGTGTCTGAAGGGGCGGACACAACTTGTCGGGCATCCCGTGGCTTGTCAAATTTGTTTGCTTCGCAATGCCTTGCCAGGCACATTCTCTGTTGGACGGTTTTGAGCAGAGCAGCTTGTGGCTAGCGAACATGCACTTCCCCACCAAAATGTTTAGCCGAAGCACGCGTTGTAGTTGCGATATGCTGACACCGAGCGTCCGTTGTCTGAAAGGTGAAGTTGGAATTGCAACCACGCGCCCCAGCGAAGCCATCACTGCTTCTGCAGTTTTGCATACATGCGTCACAGGACCTTGCGCGGGGAATGCGCGGTCGACTCCACATCAATCCTTCCATTCGACTCCGTTGACGGCTCACACCGAACCCATGACAAATACACTGGCCAATCCCAACATCAAAAGCTTGGACTTGTTGGAGGTGCCATGTCCGATTTCTAATAACACGTTCTGTCATTCTCTCTGCCTTCCTTCATCTTCCTTCCTGCCGCGCACGCGACCCCACTTGTTGTGGAGGGTGCGCGCGTCTCTCTCTCTCTCTCTCCCTTTCTTTCTGTCTTTGGGGCATGGGGCTCGCCCTCTCTCTCTCGCTCGCTCTGTCAGATTTTTCCCTTCGTTGCGCATTAGCTGTGAAACTCGAGGTGCAGCGTGGGTTCAGCGCATGCACCTGGCACGAAGCCACATGCGAAGGGTGGATCCATGTGAAATCGGGGCTTTAAATACTTACGAGTAATCCCCAAGGAACTCCCTTACACTGATCAAGGAGTGTGCAAAAACCAAACCTTTGCATGAACCCTTCTTCATTTTGGATTTTACGACCCAAGCAGTTCTGTCAAGGAAGCGGACGCCTCACAGCGTGGCTTTCAGGGTGCTGCTGATGCCTGGCGCAGCTCAGAGCTTGAACTCGAAGTGGGTTTGTGCCGAGAAATTTACACTGAGTCTACAGCACGCTGCACTTCGGGCTGCCTGAATCTTGCGCTTCAGCTGTTCATCCATGGAGCTTATCGCTGCAGCCTTCCGTATGAACGAAAACCGGGGCACAGCGATATAACTATGAAGCTCGGGGGAGTGGGGCATGCTACAGTTCTCGTGAAAGGCTAGACTCGGCAGAAGATGGCCGGAGACAGAGACAACAGCTCGAACATTGAAAGTAATCTTCTCTGCAAAGACTCAGCACCCATCGCGTTTTCGTCATGCAAGCACAGCATTGCATCAATCTTACATCTTCCACAAAGTTTCAACAAAGACCGAACTTCCGGAGAATAGTTGAAAATCCTGCGCCTGCCGGCCTCAGTTTTTGACTTACCTGCATATTTGACGTGCAAAACAGCACATGCGCAGCCTCGGTTCGAAATGCCTTCGCTAGTTCGGTGCGGACCTCAGGGGACAGCAATACCCAATGAGACTTTCCGACTCGAAGGAGTCTGGTCCAAACGAGGAGACGGATCGCATCATGCAATGATATGCAATGGCTACATGCCTGAAGTTGGTGAACTTATAGGTGGTTTTCGCAAGTCAGCCAAAAGATGTGTTCGTACCAGGAGTCGCATTCTGCAGACCCAGAGCTGGAGGCTGTAGGGCACTGTAAGGTCGCGACCAGGATGAGCCTGAGCAAGTGTTCAACGGAGACCAAAGGTGTCAGATGGTGTCAGGGTGTCATCGCATTGCTCAGCAGCAAGTCACCGGCGCACGTCACGACAAGTACCCAGGCTGGTCAAAGCAGCTCAGTTTCGTGGGTCGGCTTCTTCCAGGTCACTCATGGGTTGATGGAGATTTGCAGAGCGGACTTTTTTTGAAAACTGCGATCTCGATTCGATCCGACTCGAGTCAGCTTTGCATGCCGGCATTGAGAAGCCTGCACAGGCCTCCTTGCAACCGAGTAATGCTGTAGCAGATTTTCTGTCGCACAGTGCTACCGACACATCGCAGGGCACGATGTGTCAAGCTGTTGTATGGCTCACCCAGGCGGCATGACAGCCTAGCTGTGTGACGCTATTAGCTTCATACTCGTTGACCAAACCATACCATTCAAACAGGCCTAATCGTGACTAATCGAGTGCAGCAATATCGCCCATAGTAGTTGTAAACAGAGTATTTGCATCTCGTCAGTTCATGCTGGATGGCGTCCACTCTGCACCTCGTCTCTACATCCTGTGCCCGAGTGCTTTGATTCGTTCTTGCAACGCGAAGTCAACGTAAAGCGCATGCAGGTGGACCACGCCAGCCCGTTCCCTACCACAAGTTACAACGGTGTAAATCAGCTCTCAGCAAAGGCGATAATTAGCAAGCAAACTCCGAATAGCTTCTTAACTAGAATAGGGGCCTGCTCGGGGGCACCCTAAACCCTAAATTGTCAGGGCAACTTTTGATGATGCTGGTGGATCCTGGCCCTGCTTTAGGAGAACTTGTGACTTTTTTTTGTTTGAGGCTTTGTCATTTGCCACCCGTCTGGCAACGCTCACGGCTGAGGGCTTAGGGATCATCACTCGTCGTGGCTGCGCTGGAAGCCGGCATCTCGTCTCCTTGGGCTTTGTAGCGGCTCCAAAGGCGAGATCCTGTCCTTGGTTCAAGGGAGGTTTAGGCGTGGGATGTTTTGAGGATGTGAGGCTTTGCCATGAAGTGTGGCCTATATACCTGTCCTGGTCGTGTTTCGAGCTGAAGGGCTTATGCTTGGTGTTACATGTTTACAGCTATCAAGATGCATGCAATCCTTGACAGATGGCGTCTTGCGAAGTCTGCGGACTTGCCTTCGGGATGTGGACTCTGTTTATTTCTGAACCTTCAGCCCACAGGAGTTGAAACTCTGCTGCACCGTGGATCTGCAGGCACTGTTGTGCAGGACTGCAGAAGCAAGTCATCCTGCCAACGATCTGCCTGAGTTCCGACAGACGCAAGCCTCCTGCCGAGAATTTCCCTCAAGCCTTCGGTGCTCCCACAGGTGCATGCGACTTGTTTGCTGGTCGATGGGTGACGAATTTGTACATTTGTACAGATAGGGTGCGGTCGAACCGGACCTTAAGCAGCCGCAGCAAACTTGCAATTCCCTGCCCGAAGCCCAAGCAAGTGCACATGTCAACCCAGCAAGTTGAAAAACTTGGCAAGCGTCAAAGTGAAGACCGCGGCTCCAATCCCAAAGGCCACCACGCGGAAGGCCAAACGAATGAAGATAATTTGCTGAGTTGCATTGGAGCTGCGAAATATCAAAAGGGCTTAGGGTCTGGACATGCCTGGACTCTGTGCAGGTCGGGGACTCTATGGGCATGCAAGGCCAAGTCAGGGAAGCTTCGCTCTGTAGAAGAAAATTCGCCTCGGCTTCCTGCCGAGAAGCGTCTGGAACAAGCAGACCCGGATCCGGTCTCCTTCCCTCTAACCCAACCCTTCCCCCCCATCCAAAAAAAGGCCCCCCCCCCCCCGCCTGTCGGCGGCTCCTATCGAACTTGGCTGTTTGGGGAACCTTCCCTGGGACCCATTCTGGGACCACCCCTGAAACCTCCTGGACCCCCTTTTTTTGAGGCCTTTTCCCAGAAACCCTGCCAGAAATCCTGCCGGCCCGGCTGCCGAGGCGGCGCGCTCAAGCGTTTGCAATTACAGAGGTGGAGACTCACAGATGCAAACGCTTTCGCCAAAGCTGCCTAAGCCTGAAGCACCGAACTCCAAGGGAGCTAGGGACTACGGAAAAGATCTGCTTGAATCAGCTCGAGACATCCGTGATGGCTAGTCAGCCGAGGTGCCAAGTTGAAGCCATAGCCCACGCCTCGTTCTGCTAAATGCCGGGGCAACGGACCTGGCAGTGGGTTGCAAGTGTTTGTTTGACAGGGCACATGGCGAGAGAAGGGGAGATCCGTGATCGAGGCAGCAGATCTAAACATGCACCGGTGAGCATCACTAACGCCATCAAAAAGAGCGCTAAAGTGCTAAAGGTCACATGCTCAATTTCTGTCTCCATGAAACGCCCCGGAGCTCAAGGAGCTCAAGGCCTCCAACCAGCAGCCAGTAGGTGGAGTGGATGCTCTGGACAATGTCTTTGGGAACCATCCTGGACAAAACTTGCAAAGGGTTGCCTGCTCATACCCCCCAACGTTCTCTCTTTGCATCCAGGGAGGAGATCCTCACATTGCAAGGCCGATATGGCATCACCTCTGGGGAAATGGGGAACATGCACAAGTTCTTTCCATAGGAACGACCTCATGACCGGTACATTCTTCTCATCACAGGCATGCAAGCTCAGAGGCTTATAGGCCTTGGGCTGCGCGCTTCAAAAAACCCTAAGCAAACATTGAGACCTACGGCAAACTTCAAAAAAGGATTGACAGTGAGTAGTAGTCAAATTTATCCATTCCGACCGTCGGGCAGCGGCAGAAGTAAGGTCTTCAATAAACAGAAGCAACAAGAATCAGGCCAAACCCTCTCTCGCGTGCTCAGTACGAACAGCAGGCCGAACCCTAAACCCGATCGCAGACATATCTACAAAAGTCTCAGCCGCCTAAAGAGTCGCAGCATCCGGGTGTTCGCCGGCGGCGCTGTTGCAGGCGGAGCTGCAGGGGCAGAATGCTACAAAACCCTTCCTGAGAGTCTGCGTCGGCGCTTCATGAACCTGTGTTTGCTGCCTGTGTCAGTGATGCAGCCTGCATAAAATTTGCAAACGCTTGAGGGAGTTACCTTCAAGAACACAATAACCAACGCTGGCCGGAGACAGGCAAGGGTATGAGAACAGACCCGCTTCTTGCATGCCCCCCTACATCATAACAACTCTTCTTCCCCCGCCCATCAATCTCTCACAGTTCCAATTTGGCTTTCGAGATCCAGCCTTGGCGCGGAGCGAACATGGGGCAATTGCCGACGTCCCCCTTGCCATGTGATTGCAAGCACATTCTTCGCAAGTTCCTCTGGCTCTCCAAATCTTTCTTTGCATGCAAACAACATAA